TGTGTCTTATGTGTATTGTGTGTGTGATGTGTGTATGTTGCGTGTGTTGTGTGTGTGTGTTGTGTGTGATGTGTGTTGTGTGTTGTGTGTGTTGCTTGTTTTGTGTGTTGTGTGTGTTGTGTGTTGTGTGTGTTGCGTGTGTTGTGTGATGCGTATGCTGCGTATGTTGTGTGTGTCGTGTGTGTTGTGTGTGTGTTGGGTGTGTTGTGTGTTGTGTGTGTTTTGTGTGTTGTGTTTTGTTGTGTGGTTTGTTTTGTGTTGTGTGTGTTGCGTGTGTTGTGTGTGTTGTGTGTGTTGTGTGTTGTGTTGTGTGTTGTGTGTTGTGTGTTGTGTTGTGTGTTGTGTTGTGTGTGTTGTGTGTGTTGTGTGTTGGGTGTGTTGGGTGTGTTGGGTGTGGTGTATGTTGTGTGTTGTGTGTTGTTTTGTGTGTTGTGTGTGTTGTGTGTGTTGTTTGTGTTGTTTTATGTGTTGTGTGTTGTGTGTGTTGTGTGTGGTGTATGGTGTGTGGTGTGTGTTGAGCGTGTGTGTGTGTTGTGTGTTGTGTGTTGCGTGTGTTGTGTGTTGTGTGTTGTGTGTGCTGTGTGTGTGTGTGTTGTGTGTGTTGTGTGTATTGTGTGTGTGTTGTGTGTGTGTGTTGTGTGTGTTGTGTTTTATGTGTGTGTTGTGTGTGTTGTGTGTTGTGTGTTGTATGTGTTGTGTGTTGTTTGTTGTGTGTTATGTGTTGTGTGTGTGTTGTGTGTATTGTGTGTTGTGTGTGTTGCGTGTGTGAATGGGCTGGCGGGCGGGTGTGCGGGCGGGCGGGCGGGCGTGCGCGCGCGTGTTTGCGTGCGTGCATGTGCGTGTGTGAATATGTATATATATATATGTATATGTATGTATGTGTGTCAGTGTACATATATGTGTATATATGTATGTACATATGTGTATATGTATATGTATATGTAAATATAGTTCCATATATATATATGTTCACATATAAATATATGTACATATACACACATATATATATATATATATATATATATATATCCGCGCACAAAGGCCCGGGCGCGCGGGGCTCGGGCCACGGGGGTGCATGGGAGGACTGGGGCTTCCCTGACCGCTCCCAGAGCACCCCGGCGAGGCCCTGGAGCCCCCAGACTGCCCCACAGAGCTCCCAGAAACCTTCGGGGATTTCGACAAGCCCGTCCAAGACACACCAGATAGCCCCAACGTGGCCCAAGGTGAGTTAGAGATTGCTAATAGACAGCCCAAGAGGCTTCCAGGAGGCCTCAAGAGAGCGCACCGAGAGGCGCCCCGAGAGAGCCCGAAGAGGCCCAAATCATTGATTTGCACTGTTTTCTGCCATGTTTTTCGGGTCCTTGCGTTTTCGATCTTCCGACGCTCCAAGACGGCCGACGACGCCGCCAAGACCGGCACAAAACCTTAAGACTGCCCCAGAAAGCCCGAAAACTGCCCGGGAGGAGCCCCGGACGGCCCAAGAGAGCCCCAGGACAGGCCCAAAATGGGCCACAGAGCGGGAGCGGGAGGCCCCAAGGCGCTCAAAGACGGCCCAGATGGCCCCAACGTGGCCCCAGATGGGCCCAACACGGCAAATACACAGCCCAAGAGGCCCCCAGGAGGCTTCCAAGAGGCCCCAAGAAAGCTCCGAGAGGCGTCCCGAGAGAGCCCGAAGAGGCCCAAATCCTTGATTCCCCGTTGTTGTATTAATGCTTTCCGCTTTCTCGCGCTCTCGAGCTTCCAATGTTCCAAGACGGCCGACGACGCTCCCAAGACCGCCCCAAGACCGCCGAAAAGGCTCCAAAAAGAGCCCCAAAGACGGCCCCAGAGAGCCTGAAGATTGCCCAAGAACATCCCAATACTGCCCAAGAGAATCCCAGGAGAGGCCCAATATGGGCCCCAGAGCGGGAGCGGGAGGCCCTGAGGCGCCCCAGGACGGCCCAGATGGCCCCAACGTGGCCCAAGATGAGCTCAAGACGGCAAACACAGCCCAAGAGGCCTCCAAGAGGACCCAGGAGAGTTCCGAGAGGCGTCCCGAGAGAGCCCGAAGAGGCCCGAATGCTTGAGTTTCTGTGGTTTGTTTTCAATGTGTTCCGTTTTCTCGCGTCCTCGAGCGTCCAAGACGGCCGACGACGCCCCCAAGACCGCCCCAAGACCGCCGAAGAGGCCCCCCCGAAGAGCCCCAAGACCGGCCCCGGAAAGACCGAAACTTGCCCGGGAGGAGCCCCAGACGGCCCAGGAGGTCCCAGGACAGACTCAAGATGGGCCACAATGCGGGAGCGGGAGGCCCCAAGGCGCTCGAAGACGGCCCACATGGTCTGGGCCTCCCCCCATCCGTCCTTCCCTCCCGCCCCACCCCCTTGGCGCCATTCCCTCCTCGCTCTCCTCTTCCTCCTCTCACCCCTCAGCTTTCGTGCTCCTCCCTTCTCTCCTGGGACGGCCCCGCCAGAGCGCCAGGCAAGCCCCGCGAGAGCGAGCGGGGCACCGGTATACCCTATCATTTCACAGCTTACTTTGCGCCCCCCACCCCGCAAGGGCGGCCCCGGCAGAGCGAGAGCGGTGATGCTATACCATATACAATCCCTGTTCTTTCTTGTTCCTCCCACCGCACCCGAGGTAGCCCCGTCAAAGCGCACGGGAGACCCCAAGTATCCTCAGGTTTCGGGGTCAGCCCCGCCAGAACGCCAAGGACCCCCCCGCCAGAGAGAGCAGGGCATCCTTACATCATACTATTTAACGCCATGATTGACCCTCCCACCCTTGCTGGGCGGACCCGCCCGAGCGATCTGGGTGTGGCTATACTCGACAATTTCTCAGGTTTCGTGCCCTTCCCTCACCTCCTGAAAAGGCCTCGCCAGAGCGCCGAGAAGGTACCGCCAGAGGCCCCGTCGGAGCTCCAAGCAGCCCCATACATGGGACTTGCCAGGCAAATCGTTGAGCATCCCCGTGGGCCCGAGCCTTCCGATCCCACGGTTGCGATTATCGCCGGCATGAGGTTTTGGCGCCCAGCACAAAAAAATCCCCCACTCCCGTGGACGGATTCGACAATAACTGATTGCAGAGAAGGGCGCTGGTGACCAGGACATTTGCGCGCGCCCTCTGCGGCTACCCGACAGCTGAACGACCGCTGAAAACGAGACCCCCTGGAGCACAAGGAAGAGGAAACAAACACAACCCTCTCCCACGCGCGCACAACTAGGCCGCAAACCCGCCCCAACATCAGGATCCGGCAGATGTCTGCGTGATCGGACATGGGGAGACCGAACAAATGTGCAAAAGCATTGGGTGTCACAACGGGGCAGAGCGGAAATAAGAGCGGAGAAACAACGCAGTTCGACAAACCAAACAAAGGCGGCAGCGATATTGTAAGATACGCAGGAACGTGGCGACCCGCGTTCTGACCGCGCGTTTTTTCCCCCCCGAATACATGGGCCCGAGAACGCTTGAAATCGCTGTTGTGGCCACAGCGGGGCTTACAACGACACCCGTGGCTCATCTGCGACCAGAACCGAAGCGCGCGCGTAGCGCGCGTGGTTCCAGGATATGTACGTAGCACCCCGCAGATGCGGATAAGAGTGAGGGGTGGGTGGGGACGTCGGCAGTTTGCGAGACTCTAGAGAAGCCCGCCATAGGCGCCACAGTTTGACAAATTATACAACGAGCCCGCCGCATGCGCCGATTTTTTCGTCAAACCAATGTGGGTCGGTCGCGGGTGGGTCGCAGATGGGTCGCAGGTGGGTCGCTGTTGGGTCGCGGGTGGGTCGCGTCGCGGGTGTACACGGCGGAAAGTTCCACCCCATAAGAATCACCCCGGCAAGCGAAGCCGTTCTATGCTGTTGTTGTTGTTGTTTATGTTGCTGTTGTTGTTGTTGTTGTTGTTGTTGTTGTTGTTGTTGTTGTTTGTAATCGTCGTCCCACCCGTGACCCACCCGCGACCCACCCCGCGACCCACCCGCGACCCCCCCACGACACACCCCGCGAGGTCGCGGGTTGAATCGCGGGTGTGTCGCGGGGTGTGTCGCGGGGTGTGTCGTGGGGCGGGTCGCGGGGTGGGTCGCGGGGTGGGTCGTGGGTGGGTCACGGGTGGGACGACGATTACAAACAACAACAACAACAACAACAACAACAACAACAACAACATAAACATAAACAACAACAACAACAACAACAACAGCATAGAACGTCTTCGCTTGCCGGGGTGATTCTTATGGGGTGGAACTTTCCGCCGTGTACACCCGCGACGCGACCCACAACGCGACCCAACAGCGACCCACCTGCGACCCATCTGCGACCCACCCGCGACCTACCCACATTGGTTTGACGAAAAAATCGGCGCATGCGGCGGGTTCGCTGCATAATTTGTGAAACTTTGGCGCCAGCGGCGGGCCTTTCCAGAGTCTCGCAAACTGCCGACGTCCCCACTCCCCCGCACTGTTATCCGCATCTGCGGGGTGCTATATATATATATACATATATATATCGATATATAAGTCATGCACGTCGCTATGTGTGTATATATACATATGTGTATATAAATATATGTATATCCATACATAACTATGTATAAACACACACACACATATATATATATATATATATGTGTGTGTCCGTACCGTGGACATCTGCAAATGTATGTGTAGTGCGCGGGCGGAACGAGAACAGCGGCAGCGGCAGGAGCAGCGGGATGCTGATGAGGTGAAGACGGGGGAGGAGCGGGCATTAGGTTTTGCAGACCCCCGCGCTTCCATGCATTACTTGGAAGTCCGTGTGCATGCGGGAAGGAGAGTTTAGCATGGGCGAGGGACGGGGACGGGAAATGGAGGGGAAAGGCCTGGAAACGATGGGGGAGAAAGAGCCGTACTGAAGGATTGAATCGAGGGTGGTGCCAACTAACCGTGGAAGGTCCGAGTTTGGAGGGCTGGTTGTTTTCGCTGGTCGTGGATTGGCGCCGACCCAGCTATTGCAGCAGCCATGACCAGCAGCTTGTTGCCCACACGGAGGGCCCGGGGATTTCCATTCCATCGGCATGACCGCCTTGCAGTTGTTCGTAGTCGCGTCTACACCCACGAGTTCTACAAAACCGTCGGAGGCGCCACTCTTCCAGTCTCTGCATTGTCACTGGATAGTTTGTCCACCGCCCGCGCTGTACCACGCGACCTGGTCATTGGTGACAGCGCGTGTCGGGTGCCGCGATGTTGCGATGACAGTGTTCCGCCACGGCGCACCGTCGCGGCCAGAGTCTGTTACCGCAGAACACGCTGCGCATTCACAACCAGTTTCAACGCGTGCGAACCATGGGCTCGTGTTAGTGATCCGTTATACTATGTGTACGTATGGCGTTTGCATGGCTGTTTTCTGCGGTTGGCGGTGCACGCTGCAGATGCAGATGTGTTTCGGGCAAGGCCGCGTTGCGCGTAGTTCGATTCGAGCTTTCCCAGGTCAGAAATGTTTGGCGTGGGCGGGCCCTGCAATTCCGATCAGAGTAAGGGGTTCTCCCCCAATCTGTGTTCACCCAGCTATTTAGCCTGTCCGATTGGCGTGCGCGTTTTGCGAACTGATTAGTTCGTTCGGTTGTCATGCTCGATTAGCGCGCCTGGTTAACATGCCCGACGGGCGTGCCCGACTAGCGTGCCTGCCCCCAGGCGGAGACTCCGTTGCAGCAACGTGTTCAGGGATATAAGAAGACCGTTCGGACACGCACTCTGACATGTCCTGTTCAGGTCATCATCTTCGCCATCCAGGAGCCAGGTCCACCTTACAAGTTAGTGGCATCGTGATCCGCTCTACATGTGATCATTGCGGGCACATGTAGGATGGATCACGCTGCCGCTAAATAGCTACTTGAGCACTGAAGTCGAGAGGCATGACTTAAGGACTTGAAGTGGACCATGTGTCGAGTGCCTTATTTGCCTTCCGTCGCGAGAGTGCGGGTCTGATGCACGTGCTCGGTTGAGACACAGACGGGACGATGCGTGCAGTCGTGAGGTCCGCAGTGGCTAGAAATGGTTACTTTGTGCAGGGAGGATCGGCTGAGAGAGGAGGGTGGATATCATGGGCAACATTGACGGAGATGTCTAACACGACAAGCATTCTTGACGTTTCGCGTATCCCCCTTTGTTGATATTCATTTTGGTCCCGTTGAGCTTGATGAGGCACCCTGGCGTTCAGGTGACGTGCGCGTTGACCAGCTCTGGCTAGAGTGCTTGCTCTTCCCTGGCCTCTGGTTTCCAGGCACCGCTACAGCCTGGCCGTGTCTGCCGCTGCCGCCGGCATGGTGGGACGCAGCCCTACTGCACCAGGAGTGGTTCATCCTTCCTGGTCAGCCATGTGTGTTCGTCTTTGTTGGCCCGCAGCCTTGCACGTTGGACTGCTTGTGCAGCCCGGCGCTTCGCCACGCTTGGTGGCGCATCTACCTCTGGCGCCTGGTGCGACAAGGTTCAATTCATCCTCTTCCCGTGGTCTCGCCTCTGGGATGCCCGCACGCTGACCGCCTGGCGTTCCTGGCAGCTTTCGCAGCCTGCCTTCAGCCCCCGGCGCCCCTCAGCCTCCCTCGGCGGCAGCCTCGGCAGCCGTGAGTGCGTCTGCTGGGCAATTAGGCTTCGCCCGTAGCCCTGGTTGACCTCTGACGCCGCATGTTCTTTCGCTTGCGGCTGCGATGAAAAAGTATCCCCACTTGCCCATCCACAAACGATGCCCAGGCGAGTTGCCTTGATCAGGGAAGCGCAGGAGCATGCAGTGGATCAAGAGCTGGGGAAGCCGTCAAACTGAAGTCTTCGATCAGCCTGCGAAGTTCCATAATCGAACCGTGTGCGCCTTCGCGGAACTGCCGAATGAGGAAAGGCAGGGAATAAGGACGAGGGGGATGAGGGAGAGGAGGAGGAGGAGGAGGAGGAGGAGGAGAAGGAGGATGAGGAGGAGAAGGAGCTTTGGGGGAGCCTCTTGGAGGCCTCTTGGGCGCCTTTTGGGGCCTCCTTGGCGCCTCTTTGGGCCCTCTTGGGGCCATCTTGGAGGACATTTGGCTTGGGGCCTCTTGGAGCATTTTGGGAGCCATCTTGGGATATCTTGAGCCATCTTGGAGGTCATCTTGGGTTATCTGAGGCCCTCCTAGAGCCATCTTGGGCCCTCCTAGAGCAGAGTGTGTCAGGTGCGCCTGCGCACGTGGCAGCACACATCGGGAAACATGGCGGCCCCCATGCTCATCATTGTGTCTGGTGGGCCTGCGCACAGCAGGCCACACGCCACCACTCCCGCCGTCCCTGTCGAAAGCCACACGACAGTTATCGCGGGGTGGCCGCGCATGATCCAGGTTTCCGCGAGGTGCATTTGGTATTTTCTGTTGTTAGGGATGGTAGCCCTGCGCACAGCAGGCATTATGCTGACACCCCCGCCGTCCCTGTCAAAGTCAATACAGAGTGCTCGCGGATCTCACGAACATGACTCAAGAAGTTGCCCCAAAGTGTGTGTTGTATTGTTTTTGATAGGGGTGGTGGGGGGAGGGCGCATCGGGTTGGCCGCGCAGTGTATTGTTTTTTGAGAAGGATCATGGTATGTGTGTGTGTGAGCATGGTGTCCTCATGGTTCCTGGTCGGCTGCCGGTCGCCTGGGGGAGGGGGCGTATACGAGTAAGTAACGTTGGTAAACCCCTCCCCGGAGGGAAAAAAAGAGGTCGGAAGAGAAACCGCTGTAGATCATCTACGCCCGGAGAGGTTTCGACAGGCATTTCGACAGGCTCCCAGGACGCGGGCCCGGCCAGTGCCGCGCGCACGGGGGCGGATGCTGCGACATGGTGGCGGGCGGCAGTGGCCGCAGCCGCAGCCCGCCGCGGGGGGCCCGCGGCGGGGCCCCCGGCGGCGAGGACCCGGTCGCTAAGCTCGGAGGCAACGCTAGGGGCGAACAGCCCGTGGGGAGACGAGTACCAAGAGGGAGGGGTGGAGGAGGAGGAGGAGGAGGAGGAGGAGGAGGAGAGGAGGAAGGAGTGGGAAGGAGGAGGGAGGAGGAGGGAGGAGGAGGAGGGAGGAGGCGGAGGAGGCAGAGGAGGCGGAGGAGGAGAGGAGGAGGAGGAGGAGGAGGAGAAGAGGAGAGGAGGAGGAGGAGAAGGATGAAATGAGAGGAGGAGAGGAGGAAGAGGAGAGAAGGAAGAGGAGGAGGAGGAAGGATGGAGAGAGGAGGGAGGGAGGAGGATGAGAGGTCAATCAAGAAGCAGAACAGGAGGAGAACAGAAAATGAGGAGGAGCAGGAGGAGGAGGAGGAGGAGAGGAGGAGAGGAGGAGGAGAAGGGAGGAGCTGAGGCAGGAGGAGGAGGAGAGGAGGAGGAGGAGGAGGAAGGAGGAGGAGGTGGGGAGGAGGAGGGGAGGAGGAGGGGGAGGAGGGGAGGAGGAGGAGGAGGAGGAGGAGAGGAGGAGAAGGAAGGAGGAAGGAGGCGGAGGAGGAGGAGGAGGAGGAGGAGGAAGGAGGAGAAGGAGGAGAAGGAGGTGGAGGAGGACGAAATGAGGAGGAAGGAGGAGGAGGAGAGGGAGGAAGGAGGAGGAGGAGAGGAGGAGGAGGAGGAGGAGGAGGATGAGGAGGAGGAGCAGAACCAGGAGGAGAAAAGAGAAGGAGGAGGAGGAGGAGGAGGAGGAGGAGGAGGAGAGAGGAGAAGAGGGAGGAGGAGAAGGAGGAGGAGGAGGAGGACGAGGAGGAGGAGGAGGAGGAGGAGGAGGAGGAGGAGGGAGCGCCGATGATCCATGTCTTCGGGGAGGCTCCCGAGCGAATGTGTGTAATACCCGCCCCTTGGCTATTTGCCCCTCTCGTCGCCTCCGATGAGCACGTGTGCCACCGCGAGGTGCCCCACTTCAGGGTGGTGCCCGGCCAGGCCCTGGGGCCCAAGGGCCGCTACGTGGTGCGCCGGCTGCTGGGCGAGGGTACCTTTGGGCGCGTGCTGAGCGCGGCCACACGTAAGAGCGACCCTTCGCAAGAGTGCCCTTTGGTGCGGGCCCGCTGGCGTCTCCCGATCGCTGAGAGCGATGCGGCAGCAGCGGCTGGCGCCCTTGGGTTTGACACCCCCGCGCCCCCCCTATAAAGCTGCGCGCCAAATTTCACTCTTGCCCAGGCTCGCTCCAGCGTGTAGCCGATGAGCTGCGTGGACACAGCGAAGACGGAGTCCGTAGCGGTGAAGATCGTCAAGGGCGTCAGGCGCTATTGTGAGTTCGCAGAGGCGGAGGCCGAGGTGCTCAAGCAGATCGCGAGGTGCGACCCGGGGAGCCAGAGCCGCTGCGTGCGCATGCGGGAGACATTCTTGCACGACCAGTACAACTTCTGCATCGTGTTCGAGCGCCTGGGCGTGTGCCTCCACGGCTTCATGGCCAAGGGCTGCCCTCGGGGCCTGCTGGTGGAGACCGTTCGGAGCGTGGCGCAGCAGCTGGTGCAGTGCCTATCGTTCCTACATGGGCTCAGCCTGACTCACACCGACCTGAAGTGCCGGAACGTGATGTTCCGGGATCCGCGTTACGACGTCGTGCCCCTCCCGCGGGCCAACGGCGCCGAGACGCGGAAGCCGCGGTCCAGCGAGATGGTGGTCATCGACTTCGGCGGTGCACTCTTCGCTGCCGAACGCGGCGACGGCAAGGTTGGCACCCGCCACTACCGCGCTCCGGAGGTCGTGGTGGGCCTGCCGTGGGATGAGAAAGTGGACTGCTGGGGCGTGGGCTGCATGCTGGCGCTGGCCTACTTGGGCTTCAGGCCCATGGGCGCGGACGGGGACTTCGAGCAGCTGGCGAAGATGCAGCGGCTGATGGGCAAGGAGTTTCCGCGGCCTTTGGCTCGGCAGGCGCTCGACCGGGGCGGCGTGCCGGAGGGCGTCGTGTTCAACAAGGCGTGGGGAGGGCTGAGATCGGGGGTGGATAGACCTCCTACCCTGACACGTTGATTAAGGAATTGGCCGTTTTCGGTCCGCGAGAGGGCGTCGCGGCCGTCCTTCTTGCGGGTCCAGGTCCGTCGGTTTCGGTCCTTTCACTAGGGGGAGGTTTACTAAAGCGAGGTTTGTCCACAGCCGATGAGAGGCACCCGTGCCGCTACTCCCCAGGCCTGTCCCCGTGGGCGGGACATGTTGCCTA